GCAGGTATGCTAGAGCGGTCGCAATTAATCAAGTCTGCTACAACACGTTTTCATTGGAACACGCCCACATTTTGGACGTGGGGTGGGTGGGAGGCTCTGTCTTGAATGAGCACTGTGGATCTCGGAACTGTGGGGCAAAATTGACCTCATTTTAGTCAGCTAATTTATTGCTAGTGCAAACTCACTAAGAAGGTCAGTTCTCACAGTGCTGTAGCTTTTAGGAAAATGAAGACTTAATAATGTACAGGAGTAATCTGTCTGCAGATTTAGAAAGAAACACTTCATTGATTTAACCTTTCAACTTCTGTTTGCAATTCCTCTAGCCAGATTCGGAGGTAGGTCATTATATTCCACTTCCCAAAGCCAGTGGAGGGTTCACTGAGGAGTGGTAGTCCCCTTTCTTCCTTTTTTTAACTGTGGTGTTATTTTACTGTCGGATTTATAAATTGACATCATCCTATGTACAATTTGTGGATTCTGAGAGATAAAAAGTGCTGTTAAAATCTAATATATTGCATCACATTTGTTTTAAAGGATAATAAAACTGCTTTATATTGGGCAGTTGAAAAAGGAAATGCCACAATGGTGAGAGATATCTTGCAGTGCAATCCTGATACAGAAATATGCACAAAGGTAAATAGTTAGAATTGTAATCATAGATATACCAAGTTTTATTATTCCAAGTCTGTTTTCCCATTTCTTCTAACTGAGTGGGTTTAATACTATAATGCCACGTTTCATATTCTGTTAAAAATAGAGACAATATGTTCTGTTTCATTAGTTAATTTCAGCTTTGTCTTTCTATGCTAAATGATCATAGCATGTATATATACTACATATGTATGCTTGTATAATCAATCATGCCTTTGCTGGTAGACACCACACTGCTGAGCAAGAACAACTCAGCAGGGTATCTGTCTCTGAGTAAGTATGTCTCCCTTCCCTCCCTCACTGGAGATTGCCAGGACTACTGAAGGAAGGGTCCTGGCAGGGACTGTGGTGGGAAGTAAAGAGAGAGTACCAATCCCTGAATTTTAACTGATAGCCAGAAGAATAAATGGTATTGTACACTATTCATTCATACCATGCCTACATAGCAATGGTTTAGCTTTATTCCACAATATCTAGTATACTTGCTACATTGTAAAATGCAAAATGATGCTTTTTTCGTAGTGCCTGTGGAAAGGATTTTTTATAATGAATACATTAAATCAGTTTGTTTCTGAATTATGAATGTCAGAAGAAATACTGAAGCCATAATTTTATGTAGTGGCACTTCCTATAAAAGTGCCCCCTTTTAGCAATAAAAGAATTAACTAAAATAGTATAAGTTATGATCTGTCTGGGAATGGCATATAATGTTTTTTATATTTTATGACATATGGTATAAAAGATTCTTTTTGGGTTTTCTTCATCTCCCCCTCCCCCCAACTTTTTAGGATGGAGAAACACCACTTATAAAGGCAACAAAGATGAGAAATATTGAAATAGTAGAGCTTTTGCTGGATAAAGGAGCTAAGGTTTCTGCTATAGACAAGGTAAAGAAAGTTTGATATTTAACTTTATTTTTTCTTACCAAATTCCCTGTATCTATATCCCATCTATAGGGAAGACATTTTTTCTGCCCTTGGGTACATACTTCAGCTGCTATTTCACTGTCCTCTGAAGGGTTAAAGATGGAATATTAGGTGGGATACACTTAGTGCTCTTTGGTACTGAGAATTTCTCAGCTGCCTGGTTGGGATGTTTTAGTTTCATAGTTGTTAAGGGCTGGAAGGGACCTTACAGAACATTGGTCCAGTCCCCCTGCACATGAGCAGTCTTGTTCAGTTGCTCAGGATAAAGTTGATTATTAGGCCTGGAATGTAGATTAGTATGGCTATACGTTTTTTTTTACCTTTGTCCTTGGGGTGGGACATGGTCAGTTTCCCTGACATGGTCATATATTAACAAATTTCCTGCTCCTGCTGGGATCCAGTTCGTTAGAGGTCCCTTAGGTCTGTTTTACAGTCTTGTGCTGTTAGTAATTTTCAAGGCTTTAGGTTTCTTTTTTACTTGTAATGCTTCAGACTTCTGAAATTAATATACATTGAAATTAATACATTCTGGTTGTCCAAGATGAAGGATGGTACACTCCAGTACTATATTCATAGTTTTTTCATAAATGTGGAAGTGAATTATCAGTGCTTTGTGCGGCCAGATCACCCACACTTTTACTCCTCTTTTGACCTCTTGCTTTTCTCTTGTCCTTCCCTTCACAATACAAACATGCTGTAGTATCTCATGTCTTGGTGAGGAGGTGGGAAATGGAACACACTTGCCTCTCTAACTACTGTCTTTTTTTCACTTTTCCTTTCTAGGCTCATTGAATGTGCTGTCTGTAATTAATATCTGGAATCACTTTTTCAGCTCCATCCTCAATCCTCTCAAATCCATGTTATATACATCTTGCCATGCAGTCCGCATTGATGTATTCCTAGCCACGTTTCAAAAGAAGTTTTCTCTCACCATCCTTCTTGATTTACCAGCTGCTTTTGTTCCAATCAGCTGATTCTTTGTGAAATCTTGTCCTCCTTTGGCTTCTGTGACTCTTTTGTTCTCCTCTCTTACCTAATTGGTCCTTTTATATGTTCTTCTATATCTCCTCTTCATCTCCCTCCAACTTTCTGTGGTTCTGTTTTTTGGTTGTTTTTTCTTCTTCCTCTGAGTAATCTCATCCATAAATTTTTCTTTATTCTGATGACTCATAGCCAGTCCAAGTTCTTCTGCCCAAACTAATTTCAGTTTGTCTCTTCAGTTTCTCTATGGATGCCTTTTTGTTACCTTAAGTGAAACATAGTTAAAATAAAGTTCTTAATGTTCCCACCCCACTTCAGACAGAATCCTGTTACATTCAGGCTTTGTTTAAATCTTCCATCTGCTTTCTTGTTAGAATTTTTTAGAGATGGCCTTTCCCAGTTATATGCATAGCTCAAACTCTTGTCCAGGCTCTTATGCCTTGTTTCAGTTACTGCTACATACTCTTCTTTGGCCTTGACAAATCCAAAGTTGACCAGCACTCATCATTCAGAGCACTGCAGTGAAGATCGTCTTCCTAGTTGGTTGGTTTTGTGTGTCGTTTTTCTCCTTGTACCCTTCTGCTTACTCTTCTTTTTCTGTGGCAGAGTTGTGCAGCTAGTTAAATTTGCTAAATTGCAGCTCATGGGGCTTGCTGGTGTGGCTGCCAGAGCTACTTCATTGACACAGCTCTAGTGCTGCTTGCTTCCCATGCCACCATGGAATTTGGGCTCTTTTGTCGCCATCAGCAACTAATATTGGTAGCAGAAGAGAAGTGTGGGGAGAGCAGTGGTCACATTTAGCCCTTGGGTTCTGGAGCTGCACCAGTGCGTTGGCCTAGCAGCCACTCACTGGTGGTATTTCACCTAGCCTGTAAGAAGCCCTTGGAGCCAAATGACTGGACACTCCTGCTCTATGGCACTGAGGCACTTGTCTTTACACCCAGGACCTTTCATGAATTAACTTCCACTATAGGTGGAAGTAAGCATCTCAGTCAGTCCATGATGTCAGCTTTCACTGTCCACTAATGTTAAATATGTGAGCTAGAACCTTTTTTCTTTTCCCCCATGCTTTTCCTTGTGCTTGGCAGAGGCTGCCCTTAAACAATTCACAAAGCTACTTCAATGTTCTTCTGTAAATCTTTCCTCAGAGGAAGAGAACTATACCTGTTTTTAAAGGGTCTGAAGTCACTGATAGGTTCTGGTTTCACAAAGCTCAAAATTAAGATATACATTCTATAAGATAGAAAAATGCCATTAAAAATAACTCTTCTGCCTTGCCTGCTTGTCTGCTTTTTTGATGAGTTGTGGGGCATATAGAAAAAGGAACTCGTTGTTAAGATTTTTTAAAAACTTAATTTGTTTAAGCGAGCTACACAATATTTTGGAATGTATTACATTCAACATTTTTTAAACTTGATTTAATTCCAGAAAGGAGATACTCCGCTTCATATTGCCATTCGGGGAAGGAGCCGTAAACTTGCAGAACTCCTTTTAAGAAATCCCAAAGATGGCAGATTGCTTTACAGGCCCAACAAAGCTGGGGAGACACCTTACAATATTGACTGTAGCCACCAGAAAAGCATTTTAACTCAGATATTTGGAGCCAGTAAGTGCCAGCATTTATCTTTCCTTTTTCTTAGAAATAACAACCTGCTGTTCAAAGTGACTTGATCAGATACAGAAACAGAAAAACAGTTAACATAACTGAAACTAAATAGTAAATGAGAACTTAAGTTGCACTGCATAATCTGTTTTTAGGAAATGAATAAGGTGTGTGAAGAATCTTCTAGGACTGTTTCCTTTTCTCCCATTTTATGTTTAGGTTTGAGGGTAGTTTAAAAATGTGGGGATGGCATTTCCATTAATCCAAGTCCTAATGCAGGTAGAACAGCTTGTGGGGGGGGGCGGGGGGGAGGGATGTCTAAGAGGTTAATGTTTTATAATTCCTTTGCATTTGGGTTTGGCTATATTTAGTTCCAGTCTTGTGAAGAATAAATATGCTTTAATTTACTGTGACTTTTGAGATATTGAAGCCAATTATAGTGAATTGGAGTTGTAGTGAATTGACAGTTATGTGACTGATGAGCTCTCTCCCATGTTTTTCATGTATAACATATACATTTATAGTTTGAAATCCCATCAAGCAAGACTGTATTAATGATTTTTATTCAGTAATTTTCACTGAATTATTTTTCAGTTTACAAGTGAATTTGTCGTTACATATAACTATGTAATGTACAGTATGAGAAAAATATTCTGTAATGCCATATTTTGTTACAGGACACTTATCTCCTACTGAATCTGATGGTGACATGTTGGGTTATGACCTCTACAGTAGTGCGTTGGCTGATATTCTTAGTGAACCAACCATGCAACCACCCATTTGTGTAGGACTCTATGCGCAGTGGGGAAGTGGGAAATCTTTCCTGCTCAAAAAACTGGAAGGTAAGTTTTCTTGTAAATTTAGGCAGATATTCTGTAAAATATAGGGATTTATTATATGTAGGCTTGGCAGGATTTGATTTTTATCAATAGACATAGATTCCACCTGACACTCGCAGACTGATAGAAAAATATTTCCATCGGTAATCATTGAAATTTACATTAAAAAATAATAATCCAGGATGGAAGTAAGGAAATTTGGGGCAGGAGGCCTTGTGTACACATACAGTAGCTGGTGTAGGAACTGTGGGCTGTGCCAGTAAGGCTGTGTTGGGAGTGGGGTTGGAGGAGCAGGGCTGATAGCAGTGAGGAGCCTGGTGCAACCAGCTGCTTGCTCCGCCCAGGTCCTAGCCAGGGCAGGGGCCAAACGCCCTCTGAGTCCGGCATGATGGCTTGTGCAGGAGTTATATGTATATATATATGTGTGTGTGTGTGTGTGTGTGTGTAAAAATGATATCTAATCAGGTTTAAAATCTTAGTTATTTGTTAGTCTTCAAGGCTTTCTGCAGTAGTGAGTCAACCTGCAAAGTTTTGGTACTTTAAAAGAATTGTACTTCCTTAATTTTGAATTTGATTTAAATATTAGATCCTTTCACTCTGTGTGTTATAGAATAATGGTTTTGTTTATAGTATTGTTTGCTTCATCCGTCTTTATTTAGTTTGGCAAGATGAAAAGAAATCTTAATGTTTTTGGGACACATGCAAGAACTGAACCATTACCAAATGTCACTGATTAGGAACCAGTTCACAATTGAGAAAGAGGTGTTGTAGCACCATGTAAGGGAGGCCATATGATGAGGGGGCGCAGTTGAGTAAGGACTGACTAGAAAGATAGGTTTTTTTGTACAAATAGCACAAGGGAGCTTGTTGATTTAAAAAGTGCCAACATTAAAAGGATAAAAAGGAGGGTTTGGAGATAAGAGGGGTGTTGTGTACCAGAGTGGCCAGTTGCAGTAGAGGAGGTGGTGAGGAATGGCTGGAGGACCAACCACACCCATGGAGTACTTTGTCTACACATAACACTGACTCGGTTCACAGTAAACTTGATCAAAAGAGTACTTGATTTTTTCCAGTTCATCATTCA